TTTATGCAGTAGTTCCAAACTAACTCCATTAGGCATGTAACATGGGGAAAATATGTATTCAACCGAAAGTATTGATTTAGCGCTTAGAGATTTGGTGGAAAGCGCTTAATAAGCACCGTTTTATTATTATTATTATTCACAGTGATTTATTTTGTTTTGTCATTTATTACGATGTGAACACATGAATGAATGACTGCGACCTACTTCAACAGTCGTTTTCATCTTTTGTTCAGCTACGCCCCCGATATTCTCAATATAATACTCATAATTCTTTCACTGCTACAGGAATATACTTCCAATGCACTCAGGGAATAATTTTCCTCAAATATTTTGATTAGCAATTTCAGCTGATGGATAAATATTTCAAATGAAATTCTGTACATTTCTATGGAAGAAAACTGCTACACAAACAATATTTTGTATAGCAGTCATGCAAAAATGCATAGCAAATTGCGATGCGATACCAGGAAAATTATTCCCTGGCACTGATCATGTTATGTGCTGAATAAAACCTTCTTTTGGTCATTTTGACATAGAGTTAAGTGTAATATCAAAACATGACCCCCCCCCCCCCCCCCCCCTTTGTATTGCTTTTTGTTTTCATATTACACACATTTCAAATTCCATTTAATAATATTACTTTTTCTTCCTAAACTTGGAAACAGGTAACCTCAGTGTATTAAAGGTGTATTATCAAGGGTTCTAAAATACTGTACAGTGTATATATGCCCAATTTAACAATGAAACACGTCGCATTGTCAATCAAAGTATAACACTCGAAACCTCATTTATGAGGAAATTAAAATTAAAATTATGGCACAAAAACTGGTTTACATGTTCAGTTTTTCTCATTTCACTTAAGTGGATAAACTGACGTAGAATTGAAAGTTGTGAAGCAATAACGGTTAACCTATAATTAGATAAGTTATGATGTGCATTACAGCTGAGCTGTAAAAGGACAATACTGACACATAGCATGCTGTCATCTAGCATCAGTCTAATGGGAGCAAGGGAGTGCTCACAACAGTTCCGTTAGCACTTAAAATGCAATTTTAGGAGCATATATTGTACACTTTATGGGTGTTTCAAAAAAGAAAAAAGAGAAAATAGGAAACAAGAGTGATCAGTTCAAGATTGCTTTCAGGCTGATGGGTTGCAACTGGCAAGAACACTCCACAATCATAGAAAATGAAGGATGCCCTCTCTTGATAAAAACATTACAGTTTCCTGAAGGTCTCTTTTTGGATGAAGCAAAAAAAAACAGATTTTGAAAAAAAAATATATTTCCAAGTATCTATTACAACATTTTAATATTATTTTGGAGGTAATTATCACTTACATCATGATTATTTAGCCTGGATAAACCATAGAGATAATTGGTAATTGGTATCCTCATTCTAGAATTATAGCTAGTTTATGGAAACCGTCATTTTTTTCTCTCTCTCCTTTTTCCTTTTTAATTACTCACTTTTTAAGTAGATCAATGTAAATTAAATTGATTTGATTTACATGTAGCACCCTTTTTTAACAGGGTATGCTATACGTGACCAGGAAGTGATAATCCCAAAGGAGCTGATTTAAGTTAATGAAAAAGTAGGGTTTTTAAGTAACCTGTATTAATCCATTGTTCATCTTTATATAAATCAGTTCCATGATATCAAACTTTCCAGTTCCTGAACCCATTTAAAATGATGAGAATAGTGAAGGGATTTTTTTAAAACTCACAAAAGAGACTTGATTACTGAAAATCAGATCCACAGTTTTCTAGTTTATAGTCTGCAATATATGGCCCAGTAGGGAAGTATGGAAGTTATAGATGCTTTCAACTTTTCTTGTACTTTAAACAGTAAACCTTACAAGCTTCATAATAAATTTAAAAATAAAAATACTCCGAGACAGTTTATCAAACGTATTTAGATTTTGGAGATTAGAAAGTGAGTGATATATTCTATCTAAGTGTGTGCATCGGCTTTGGCATTTTGTAAAACCTCTCACTTCCAACCCATTAAAAAAATTAATGCACAAGCACATCAATGATTATATAATATAAATTACACAGCCATTCAACAGTCAAATGTGCAAGGTGAGCAAAGCAACTCTAGTGTGTAAATTTTGCACTGGCTCCCAGGGGCAGATCCAGGGGGAGCATGGGGGGCGCACGCCTTCTTTTTTCCTTCCGAAAAAATAGGAAAAAATATTCACATAAATGTTCAGTTTGTAAACACATTCAAAAATACCTCAGAATGTACCATAGAGCATAATTTGTTGGGGCCCTATCCGATGAAAATACACCTTTTTATCGATGAAAAGCTGAATAAACATAGAATAATAATATATAAGAATTCAAATTATTTTCTGTTTCAGTATTGCACAAGAGCAAATTGAAACCATATTTTCAGCACCTCTCTGAATTACAGGTCAACAGGGGTCAAATTTCCTGCTTTTACAGTGAAGACATTTTATGTACACCCGTTTGGCTCGCCTATATAGCTAAGGAGAT